CCGTTGGCACTGGCAACTGGCACTCTGAGGAGGGCCAGGTCGGTGAGATTGGCCACATCATCCGCATCCTCGTGCTGTTCTCCAACATCATGGCGATTACGAACAACGGCGGTGCTGGCTCGCATGAGGCCCGCCACCTCTCGCCCTCGCATTACGAGCAGGCGCTCAAGTCGTGGGCGCTCGACCTGCCCCGCCACCTGCGCTTCGACGAGGTCAACCTCTCGCTCTCGATGGCCAAGATCCAGAGCCCTGTTGCCGAGGTCGCCTTCGCCGGTTGGTCCTTCGCTTACATGCACGCGGTCGCCGAGTGCGGCATGTTCTACCTGCAGTCGAAGCACACTGGTGCTCCCTTCGCGGTGCAGCGCCAGGGCCAGGCTGTCGACAACCTGACCGTCATCATCGAGAGCTTCGGCGAGCGCGGTCGCGAGGGACCTCTCATGTTCTTCCCCGTCATGATCGTGACGTGCTGGATGGACCACATTGCGGCGACCAAGCCCGCGAGCGTGCACAGCGCGATGGAGGAGCGTGTGAACGCCTGGTGGGCTGACGTTGGGCGCGAGTGGGGCTGGGAGCGCCGCGAGACGCTCGAGCGCGGTATCTTCCCGAACCTCGAGACGATCGGCGGAGGCCCGGCCGAGCGCGAGCCCGCGCGCGAGCGTCCGTTCTCCCTCGCTGGCAGGCGATACGAGCCTCCCGCTCTGGGATTGTACCAGCAGACCTCGCCCGTCATGGAGTCGAGCGCGAGCAGCACGACGAGCCACGCGGTCGTCACGCCTAACGAGCCCAACCACCCGCGCTACCCCGTCCTCCCTCCTCTGCGCACGGGAAGCGGCGGCCGCTCGCCTTCACCGGCGCGCAGCAGCCGCAGCGCCCACTCGGTCCGCTCGGGCTCAGACCGCGAGCGCGAGCTTCCTCCGCTTCACGCGACCCGTCCCCTCGCCGAGCGCGACTGGGACTCGGAGAAGCGTGCTCGCCTCTCGCCCCCTCGCCGCGACTGGTCCTCTGGCCCGCTCCTCGGCATTGACGCCCTCGTCTCAGCCGCCGAGGAGCACCGTCGCGAGAGCATGGAGAAGGCTGCTGCCAAGGCGGTCACTGCGTGAGCGTAGTGACACGGCCGGCAGAGTTGCCATATGTGCGCCTCGTTGTGCACACTACACTGTATCGAATTGTATCACTGTAACGGGTAGACTAGACATTGCTTGAACGGTTGTTATGAATACCTCTGATCTATTACACGGAGCATCAGCGCAATGGCGAGGTAACACTGACTACCATGCACTAACTTTTGTTGCTTTTGTTGTGTGCATGCCCTTGCATGGTGAACTTGTGGTGAGTTTGGGTGTGGTGTGCGCTGGTGGAGGACGACGCCTGGCTGTGCCGATGACATCATGCCTCATGTCGCCACTGACCGAGGAGTAGTGGATCACATGCGTCACCGTCACCGTTTGTCTTCCTCGTCTCCACTTCGACTTTGCATACACTCATACACTCGCCTCCGCCTTCAATTCGAAACTGGAAGCGAGACAAACACGATGGGCGGCAACAACAACAACAAAGGCAAGGCACCCAAGGTGCACGCGGGCGAGAGCTTCGCCGACGCCGTGCGCGAGGGTACGCCAGCGGACCCCAACGGGGACCAGAACGCGCGCCTGAAGCCCGGAGAGACCTACGCCGACGCGGTGCAGGAGGGTCTTCCCGAGAACCACAGCTCGTCGTCTGACGCACCCCCCGCCTACTCGGCGAACGGCGCCAAGGCGTCCGACAGCAAGACGCCCTCGTCGACGGCACAGGCGCAGTCGCAGGGCGGTTCCTCGTCGCAGAACAACAAGAATCACGCCCTGCATCTCCCGAACGCGCACCACAGCCACAGGCTCGGATCGCCCAGTCCCTCGCCCTCCCCTGGCGGTCATCGGCACGGCCACCATAGTCACCCCCACAGCCACCATTTCTCGACCGGCGGCGGCGGTGGAGGCAGCGGCGGTATCTTTGCCGCGCAGTTTGGGCCGGGAGGCGCAGAGGAGGGCGTCGTCATGGTCCCCGAGAGGGAGTACATATACGCCCTTATGCGCGCGCGCCGCAGGTTCTGGGCGACGCTGTTCTGGGCCCTCCTCATCTATCTTGTTGCTGGGTAAGTCTCTCGAACCACCGAACTCAAGAATATGCTTCGTTGCTTGCGATCACCTGGCTCAGGCCATCTGCTCTTCATCACCCCACTGCGGTTCGGTGAAGCCAACGATTAACTTACGCCTTTACACCGCTTGGAGTAGAGTGAACCCACCCCTGAGTCGTCTCAGCCAGGCCTCGCCTCCAGTGACCAAGCTTTTCCACAGTTCTCAGAAGCTGACACTCAGTGCCATCGTAGGCGGTGGCGTCGCGGATGCCAACTCGCACAAGGGCAAGCACAAGGACAAGAACGGCAAGTGGCATGACCACGCTGCCGCCGTGACTGAGGAGAAAGGTGAGCCTCTCGCCTTTGTCCGCGTCGGTGTGCCCGCCGATCGCAGCCAGGAGGTCGATATGCCGTGGGACTACAGGGTGCAGGACGTGACGGCGCCTGAGTAGGTCATTGACGATTGTATGAGGATGTAAGAAGATGTCTATGAAGTAGTGTTTGGTATCCCGCGAGCTGTTCAACTCCTTTGTGAAGCAAGAGAGCAGAGAGCTCAAAAAGGGCTGTCCTCCGGCAGCGAGCATCGCTTAGTCAGTTACGGTTTAGCGGGTATTCCATCGCCAGCAGTATCCATGTCAGCCTGCAAGATATGTCAGTCTGCAAAGATAACAGAGCTGTGGCTGCAGCTACGTATCCCAGATCTCCGGATCGAGCTGCGTACCTGCGGCCCTTCTTGTTCAACTTCCGCAGGTCAGGTCCAGCTTGGAGCTGATCCGAGTCCTGCAGAGCCGGTCCGAGGTTTTTGCGTGCGCGCACGTCTCCCTCGTCACCGAGGCCTTCTCGTCATCCACCATTCATTCAGTGCACATGCACGCTGCTCCCTGCCCGCTGGCCGTCTTTAGCGGAACCCGATAAAGCGGCGATCGTTCCTCCTGTTCTCCTTGTTCGGATCCATGAGTGCACAAGTCGAAGAGCCGTGTCCGAGGTCACCGATCGGGTGACAGCCGATCGCCCAATACGGTAGCTCGGATCAGCCGCGGCTGCTGGTTTTCCGACTTCACTCCTTGCGTAACAATGCTTCCATGCTTCCTGCACATGCTGCACATGAGCTCATAATGCAGGATATGCAGGGCATACCCCTATGCCCCAGGGCACGTTCGCTTGCAGCATCGCTTCCTCGTCCAAGCAACTACGCGCGCCGAGATCTGCTTGGCCCCCATGTTCCAGCAGCTCGGTCATATTCCCTGCGGTGGGCGTCGCGCATGCTGAATGCGTGCAATTCTCCGCGTGCACCCAAGCAACGGCATGCACGCTATCGAATTCGTCTAGCGTGTTCCGACGACCCTCAACATCGAACGCTTCGTACACATCTCTTCCAGGTCTCTCATCTCTTTATCATGCATGCAGACAGATGCACATCGGTTTATAAGTATTCCGCACATCTTCGTAAGCCGCACTCTGATCTTCACTCAGTTTAGTCAGGTTCGGTGTCTACGGTGCGGAATCGTGGTGCGGGATGAGAAGTGCCTGCGGAGCTGGCACATTCTGGCGCTCACTATCAGACGGAAATGGCGGGATGTGATTGGCCGATCAAGGACGGTGCCTGTACGTCATCTTGCCTTCCATCCTGTCAACCCTTTGCAGGTATTGAAGGTGACAAAGCCGTGGGTAGAGCGACATCCATTGATGGGCACGGCTCTACGCATTGCGCATGGCGGAGATTGGATTCCAGGCTCGCGGCCCAAGGCACCCCCGCACCTCCCTGGTTCCCCTGGTTCCCACTTCTCGTCAATCCGTTCGGTCAGCTCGGTCATGTCGAGCCCATCCATGCCCCGAACCCGACGTCGATCCCCGTCGTTCACCAGTATAAATACCGACCTGCGTGTGTCGGAACGGTTCCGCATTCTTTCCCACTGACAACTCCAAACGTCAATCGAAGCATCCCAGCTTCCACCCCTTAGACAACAACCAACACCATATTCACCTCGAAAGTACTCAGAATGGCATCCAAGGGCCTCGGCAACGTCGTCGAGCTCCAGCGCCCCTGGCAGGGCGTCGGCCCCTTCATCTTTGGCTCGCACCATGTCGA